ATGTAGTGGTGACTTCCGAGCACATTACATGAAAAGCCAGATAGCAGAAACAGCTACTGATTTTGTAAACTTATTTTGTATCTGCTCACTCTATGGATGATGGTTCCAAAGTATGTAATGAAATTAGTTTGATAATATTACAATGTCAGCAATATTTTTGAACTCTCCATTTCATGGTTGTAGATGAGCCATCCATATAATAGGCAGGTGACCTGGGTCTGTCAGGGGAGCAGCACGTGCCCTTGTCCCTTGGGGCACAGTCACACTCAGGACTGGTTATGAGCACCTATTGGACAGCAGCATGTGGATCACCACAGACGGTTCCTCATTAGAAGGACTGTACATTCTGGAGAACCAGAAAATAAAGTTAAATAAATACAAAATAATAATGTTGTAAATACTAACTGGCATCAGGTGTATGTCCTCCAGGTAAAGCCATCTCTACAGAGGACGAAGTGTCTCCGTTTGCAGGAGAAGAAAGGGAACAGATCCTTTTCCAATGCTGGTTAGTAAGAAGGCTGCTGACGTTGCCACCAGCACAGGCCCCTCTGTCTCCAGGCCTCCCGGACGCCTTCTCCATGCTTTTTGATAAAGATGCCCTACGAACCACAGGGAACGTGGCTCTGAAAACCACCTTTCTGTTACAGATTGGATTTGGGACACTGGCCAATGTCACCCTCTTTTTCCATAATGTCTCCCCAGTCTTGTGTGGCCACAAGCAGAGACCCACACATGTGGTTCTCACCCACATGGCCTTGGCCAACCTCTTGGTTCTTCTCTCCTCTGGGATTCCCCACACGATGGCGGCTTTTCTTTTGAGCAACCCCCTGTCCAGTCTGGGGTGTAAAGTTGTTTATTATACACAGAGAGTGGCTCGCAGCTCCACCCTGTGCTGCACCTGTGTCCTGAGCACCTGCCAGTTCCTCACACTCATCCCTGGGAGAGTCGAGCGGATGGCGCTCAGGATAGTCCCCAGGGTCCCTGGTCCTTCCTGCTGTGTCTGCTGGGTGTTTGCTGCCATAAAAAGTACCTATATTGCCTTGAAAATCACTGATGCACAGAATACAGGAAATGATACCGACACACAGGGCAGGTGGTTCTGCTCATCTTCATTTCCCAGGGCAGGTGTTGCCACCGTGTTATCATGTCCAGATGCCGTATTTATTGGCCTCATGGTCTGGGCCAGCGGCTCCATGGTGGGTCTCCTACGCAGACATCACCAGAGGGTGCAGCATATTCACACCCCCAAGGGCCCCCACAGCTGCCCCCCAGAGACCAGAGCCGCCCACACCATCCTGATGCTGGTGGTCACCTTTGTCGTCTTCTACATGATGAATTTGGTTTTTACTTTTTACATCACTGTCTTTTTAGACCTTCAACAGAGCCTGCAGGTAGGTGCCTCCCCGCGGTCAGGGAGCCAGCAGGGAGGGGTCTCCCCAGGAAGGACACAGAGCCTGGCCGGGGGTCCCAGGATCGCACAGCGCCCATGCCAGGTGCACTGCTGCCCTTCCCAGACTGAATGGGCAGGAGGATGCTGGGCACACATTTTCCTCTTTGAAATCCCATGCAATGCAGTATCTCAGGGATATCTGCCCAGGTGTCTGTGGGGTTCCTGTGTGTGTTGTGTTGTGTGTAAATGTTGCTCATGTATTTATGTCTGGATTTGAACTGGGAAACCGCCTCTGTGCTTCCTGAAGCTGAGGGGGCAGGCGGAGAATGAAGAGTTATAGAGAGATGAGAAGAGGTTTATTTTGAAAATGGTGTGAATGTTGGAAATAAGCCATGTACAGGGCTTTTATTTAATGAGAAATAGGAATTTGACCCATAAACTCTGCAATGACTAATTTCACTGTAGTTGAAAATATGGTGGAATGTGCCCTGGGCCAAGCACATCTGTCTGAATGTCTGTCCCCCCAAGATGCACACGTTGCAGTCACAGCCCCAGAGACGACAGGAGGCTAATGGGCAAACGGTGCTCACAGGACAGACACAACGGCCTTCAGTTTATTTTAGCAAAGCACAGCTGTGTCCTCAGCAAAGTGGAGGGAGGTAGGGCTTCAGAGTCCCCGGTTTTCTCCAGAACTGTTTGCACCCACTTGCCCAAGGACATGGGGAGTGACCTGCGCACGCTGTTCCCCGTGCCTGTGGGTGGAGATGGCCCCTGGGCAGCAGGCCCTGGGTGTGGGGTCCTGGGATGGCACGGGCCACCTTCCGTGGAGGCCCCTGGCTCTGGCTGTGCTGTGGCCCGTGTGACTGTGGGGCGGTGCTCAGGGTCTGTGCGGGGCATGCGTGTATGTCTGCCTTCTACCTGAATGGCTGGTGTAAAATGAAGCCCTGCGTGTGGGCGATGTGTGTGCCCATATTATGCACCACCTCAGTGTGACCAAAACCCTTCCCAGGGACCCTCAGCCCAGAGGAAGGTGCCTGGGCAACGTGGAGATGGGCAGGGGCCACCTGTGTTCTCGGGAGTCAGGGGCCTGGCCGGAGGCCAGAGGGTGTGTGGAATCGGGGCTGAGAGTCAGCTCTGCTCCCACAGAGGAGCTGACTGTCCACTCCAGAGATAATGGAGCTGCTCAGGCCACTGCAGTAAAGAGAGTCTGAGAAATGACAATTCCTAGGCGTCTGTCCAGCAGGGGCTGATCGGGGGAAGGCGGGGAGGCAGCGCTGGGGCCGTCAGGGCGGGTAAGGACGCTCAGCAAACAGGGAACCCAGGCTCACGCATCGCGGATGGTGTTACTTTGAGCGAACTCACTAAGATTAACAGTAGGAAATGTAAGTATTCTACTGTAACTCATTTTTCCCTTCCAACGCCCTCCTTTCTCTGACCCGTCTCTGACCCACGGCATCTTCCTGCTCCAAAGGGCTTCCTGCACCGTCCTGCGCGGCAGGCCCAGGGCACCAAACCCCGTTTTCCTTTGAGCCTTTACTTCACCTTCGCTTCTGATGGATAATGTCACAGGGCCCAGAAACCACGTCGGTGGGATTTTTCTCTCAACACTAGTATTTTCCTCCACTCCCCTCTGCTCGCATGGTGTCCACGGAGCAATTGGATGTAAATCCTCTCCATGCTGTTTTGTAGGAAAGTTGTTTTTTTCTCTTACATTTTAAAGAAATGTTTTAATCCACGATGTCCCCCACGTTCCAATGTTATCTGTGGGGGGAGTTGAGGGGGTTTTGTTTTGTGCTGTTTTCTGTTTTCTTTGCATTTCTCCTGCTTGGTGTTTGCAGGGCGTCCCTCGGCTCGGCTTAGGTGCTGACATCCCGGGGGGAATCCGCTGTTGCTGTGCGCTTGTGTGTCTCTGCTGCTCCTTCTCTGCAAGTCCAGCTATGCAGTTACCCCTCGGTGTTCATCCCACAGTCCGGGGATATTCCGACCTGGGTTTTCTCTCATCTCTCTTCTGTTTGTTTTCCAGTTTGGGAGTTTCTGTCAACACGTCCTTACACTCAGCAGTACGTGCCTCAGGCATCTTCAGTCCACTCACAGGTGCATCGAGGGCACTGTGGTTTCTCTTACAGTGTTTTGTTTTCTCCATCATTTTGTCTTGGTTGTTAGCCTTCCCTTCCTCTGCTCAGTTACCAGCCCTTCTCACGTGCTGTGTGCTTCACCCATCAGAGCTCATGGCATCTCAGTTACAGGTGCTTTAAACGTTGCTCTGATAATCTGACATTCCTCCACATCTGCACCTAAGGCGATTGCCGTGTTCCAAACCATTGTTACTGTGCCTTTTAGTCCGCCTTGTCACTGTTACTCCTGGTGGACCTGATGTGGAGGATTGAGGAACTTCTCTCATCATCCTTTCAGATGTGTGGGAGGTGTTGTGTGAAGGTACCACCTTTGCTGCTGGGATGAGGCCTCAGTGACTGGGGAGCATGTGCCCCCGGGCTGTGAACTGCACAGGGACCTCTCAGCCTTGTCTCCTGTAGACAGGACAGGATGGCTACAGGGACTGGGCCTGGGTATCCCCTTCTCCAGGGCACTGGGCTCTAATCACACCCCAGCAGGTTAGGCCTCAGGCCGGAGTGTCCTGGGGGAAGGGCTTGTTGAGAAGAACTCAGCGCTCTCCTGTTTTTAAAAATCATCTTTCACCCGCTGTGAAAAAAGCCCAATTGGGAAGTTCTCTGATATTTACTGAGGGAACTGGTGCAAGGCCTGGAGGTGAAACACACAAAATGAGCTCATCCCTTATTACTTGGTCTCCCTGGAGAATCTCGGTCTCAGACTTTGCACCCTGAGTCCCCAGCCCCTTGCAGACTACAGGGTGAGATTCCCTGCCCGTACCACAGCTCTGGTGGTGGTCTCCTCTCAGGGTCTCAGATCCAGGAAGTCTTGATGGCCTCTATTCACTTCCCCTCTTTCCCATCAACAAAGCAGTGATGCCCCAGGGGTCCTCAACTCTCTTACAGATCTGCGAATTTTCATATTTTTGGTTCTTAAACTATTGTTAGAATGTAGTGGTGACTTCTGAGCACATTACATGAAAAGCCAGATAGCAGAAATAGCTACTGATTTTGTAAACTTATTTTGTATCTGCTCACTCTATGGATTATGGTTCCAAAGTGTGTAATGAAATTAGTTTGATAATATTACAATCTCAGCAATATTTTTGAACTCTCCACTTCATGGTTGTAGGTGAGCCATCCGTACGATAGGCAGGTGACCTGGGTCTGTCAGGGGAGCAGCACGTGCCCTTGTCCCTTGGGGCACAGTCACACTTGGGACAGGCTATGGGCACCTATTGGACAGCAGCATGTGGAACACCACAGACGGTTCCTCATTAGAAGGACTGTACATTCTGGAAAACCAGAAAATAAAGTTAAATAAATACAAAATAATATTGTTGCAAACAGTAACTGGCATCAGGTGTATGTCCTCCAGGTAAAGCCATCTCTACAGAGGACGAAGTGTCTCCGTTTGCAGGAGAAGAAAGGGACAGGATCCTTCCCAATGCTGGTTATGTAAGAAGGCTGCTGACGTTACCACCAGCACAGCCCCCTCTGTCTCCGTGCCTCTCTGCAGCCCTCTCCATGCCTTTTCAGAAACATGTCCTAAGAGGCACAGGGAAAGTCACTCTGAAAACCACCTTTCTGGTACAGATTGGATTTGGGACGCTGGCCAATGTCACCCTCTTCTTCCATAATGTCTCGTCAGTCTTGAAATGCCGCAAGCAGAGACCCACACATGTGGTTCTCACCCACATGGCCTTGGCCAATCTCTTGGCTCTTCTCTCCTCTGGGATTCCCCACACAATGGCGGATTTTCTTTTGAGCAACTGCCTGTCCAGTCTTGGGTGTAAAGTTGTATATTATACACAGAGAGTGGCTCGCAGCTGCACCCTGTGCTGCACCTGTGTCCTGAGCACCTGCCAGTTCTTCACACTGTTCCCTGGGAGAGTGGAGTGGATGATGCTCAGGAAAACCCCCAAGGTCACTGGTCCTTCCTGCTGTGTCTGCTGGGTGTTTGCTGCCTTAACAAATACCTATATTCTCTTGAAAATCACTGATGCACAGAATATAGGAAATGATACCAACACACAGGGCAGGTGGTTCTGCTCATCTTCATTTACCAGGGCAGGTGTTGCCATCATGTTATTATGTCCAGATGCCATGTTTATTGGCCTCATGGTCTGGGCCAGCGGCTCCATGGTGGGTCTCCTACGCAGACATCACCAGAGGGTGCAGAATATTCACACCCCCAAGGGCCCCCACAGCTGCCCCCCAGAGACCAGAGCCGCCCACACCATCCTGATGCTGGTGGTCACCTTCGTCGTCTTCTACATGATGAATTTGGTTTTTACTTTATACATCACTTTGTTTCTAGACCTTCAGCTCTGGTTGATACAGACATGTAATGTTTTGGCTTTGTGTTTCCCCACTGTGAGCCCCTTCCTGCTGGTCCTTAGGGACCCCAGAACTCCCAGGCTTTGCTCTTGAATAGATAGAACCCACTGATGAGAGAGTAAAGAGATAGAAGTCAGCTTCTGTACCATCCCTGATTATATATGTACTAATCATTTACCTGTTAACCATTTTTATAATTTTGTCATGTTTAAAGTATACATAACCTCATAGTCATGACTTGACCATCTCTGAGTGCACATCATTGGCATTAAACACATTCCCTGTGCCTGTGACCATCACCGCTGCCTATACCCAAGGGTTTTCATCATCCCCAAGCAACTGTGGACCCATTAAAACAGTACCTCCCATTTCCTCTCTTTCTCAGATGCCCCTAAACTCTTTGAGTCTCCAGTTCTTGCCGGTTCTAGGAACCCCATGTCAGTAGAATCATACAGCACTTGTCCTTCCGTGCCTTATCTCAGTAAGCAATAGTTTTCAAGGTCATTCCATGTTGCAGCATGTGTCTAGATTTTGGCTGTAATCTATTCCATGACATTTTGTTTATCCATTCATCTGCGCATGAGCACTTGGGTTGTTTCCACCTTTGACTATTGAAGATAGCCCTGCACTGAACATTGATGTACATACATCTGTCAAGTCCCTGCCTTGAATTCTTGTAGATATATACCTAGAGGGTGAAATTTCCATGTCAGATGGCACTTCTATGTTTAACCACTTGAGAAGTCAGAAACTTTTCCAAAGCTGCAGCATCATTTCACATTCCCACCAGCAATGCACAAGGGGGTCAGATTCTCCGCATCCTCTCCAACACTTATTTTCCATTTTCCATCCTAGCAGGTGTGCAGTAGTATCTCATTCTGGTTTTGATTTGCATTTCCCTGGTGATTAGTGATGTGGCACATCTTTTCATGTGTCTGTTGGACAACTGTATGTCTTTTCGGGAAAATGTCTCTTCAGATCCTCTGCCCATTTTTAAAATTGTATTATTTGTTTTTTGGTGTTGTTGAGTTGTACAAGTTCTTCGTATATTTTTGTTATTAGTCTCTTCTCAGATGAGTTATTTGCAAATACCTCTCCCTCTCAATAGCTGCCTTTTCATTTTTTGATGGTTTTCTTGAAGCTTTTAAGTTTGATGTCATCCCAGTTGCTGATTTTTGCCTTTGCTGCTTTTGCTGTCTGTGTCACATCCAATAAATCATTGCAAGGACCAATGTCAAGGAGCTTCTACTGTATGTTTTCTTCTGAGAGCTTCATGTCATCAGGTCTTATGTTTAAGTCTTTAATCCATTTTGAGTTACTTTTTGTGAGTGGTGTAAGGTAGGGGCCTGATTTTTCTGCATGTGTTTATCTTATTTTCCAACACAGTGTTGAAGAGTCTACCCTTTAAGGAGTGTCTTTGGCTCGCTTGTCAAATATATTGACCATACATGTGAGAGTTTATTCTGGGCTCTCTATTCTCCTCTGTGAATGCATTTTTATGCTAGCACCATGCTGTTTTAGTTTCTATAGGTTTGTAGTATATTTTGAAACCCCGAAGTTTGATACGTCCAGGTGTGTTCTTCTTTCTCATGATTGCTTTGGCTATTTGTGTTTTTTTGTGGTTTCACACAAACTTCAGGAATATTTCACTATTTCTATGAAAGGTATCAGTGGAATTTTGATCCGGATTTCAGTGAATCTATAAATTAAGTTTGGCTGGTATAGACACTTTACTGATATTAATCGTCCCAATCCAGGAACACACTCTCTCTCTCCATTTGGTTGCTTTCCCCCTATTGTTTCATCAAGGTCGTGGAGTTTTCATTGTACAGTTTTCATTTTCTTAAATGTACTCTCAAGTAGTTCATAATTTTTGATGCTACTGTGGAAGGGATAGTTTTCTTCCTTTTTCTCAGATATTCTGTTGTCAATGTATAGAAATGCAACTGGTTTCTGTATGTGACTTTATATCCTACAATGTTACTGAATCCATGGATCAGCTCCCACAGTGTTGTTCTGAGTCAGTCCTGAGGGTTTTCTGTATAGAAGAGCGTATCATCCTCAGACAGAGACGGTCTCACTTCCTCCCTTCGGACATGGACGGGTGTCATTCCTTCGTCCTGCCCACCTGCTCTCGCTGGGGCTCCTTTGAGTAAGAGTGGCGGGAGGGGTGCCCCTGACCTGTCCCTGGTCTCAGAGGACAGGCTCTCAGCTTTCCACCGTCCAGTATGTCAGCTGTGGGTGTGTCATATGTGGCCTTTACGGTGCTGCGGTATGGGCCTTCTGTACCCAATTTCTTGAGGGTTTTAATCATGAAAGGATGTTGTATTTTATACACCAACACGTCTGTGTACAACTCCCAGGTCCCTGGGTACAGCATCGGGACAACAGTGCCTGTTGATTCCATCTTCGTAGTTCTTAAAGCTTTAAAGGAGATCCTGTCAGTTATTACAAGCTGTGACCCATTGTTCATTTACAGTTTATTCCGAAAGGCATACGCGGGATGCTGGAGAATAACCCTCTCTCCAGCCTTTCCAACAGTTCTGTGGGCACTTAAGATCTTTGCAAGGATCTTAAATCAATGGACACAATAAACAATTCATAAGAAACTACACAACTAATAAGCAATGGGAGACAACTGGGCACATTGCTGGCACTGTCACCTAGAGCTGAGTGCCAAGGTGGTCAGAGGGCCTCCTGAGTCACACTGGGAGGCCCATGGGGGACGCCCTGGACCTCACGGCCCGGGGAACCAGGAGAGTCCTTGAGGGGAGTCGTTCAGGGTCCGACCCTGAGAGACACCATGGCCGGAGACCCTGCTGTGACTCCTCAGTCATCACACACTCTCTGAGAACAGACTTTATTATGCGTTAAAACAATAACAAACCTAAGGGAGCTTGGAAAATAGAATGTGGATTCCTGAGTGAAGGAGCACATACTGACGTGGTTCTCACGGGTCTGGGGTAGAAAGTGAAGATTTTAATAATTAAAGGATCAGAAGAGGGTGAAGGAGGGGAAAGCAGATCAGGACGGGAAAGGAGAGTCACGAAGGGAGAAGCGGGGGTGTCTGAAGGCAGAGACTCGGGGGCCAGGAGGATTCTGGGGCCCAGTGAGGCAAGGGGGGGCTGTGGGGCGGACGAGCAAGCGCCCTGTGGTGTCCCACCCACCAGGCAGACCTCAGCTGCTTCCCGGGCCGCACACGCCCAGAGCTGGGGAGGCCCTGTGCCCGCCCAGGGCCGCTGCTGGCCGGGGCGCTGCCTGCCTGGCCTCCTGCCGCAGACCTCTTCTCCCCCCAGGCCTCTGTGCCGTCCAACCCATGACCGTTCGCCCCCAGGACTCTCCTGGGCCCACGCTGCCCACGGCCGGAATGGGCACCCAGTCAGCTCAGACCCTCAGGAGACCCATCTAGCTGACCCCAAACTTGGGGCATCTGGTCAACTCAGCAACACTTTCATTCTTGTGATCGGGTGAGTTCCTGAGTCTGTTTATTGGGCAACCTCGGAGCTACCTAGACAGAGACTAGGTCTTCTCACCCTGCCAGCACTGGACACAAATTTCTCTCACATAACACAGCCAGATCCTCATCACACAGTGATCTGAGTCCCGAACCTGAGTCTCACCACTACAAAATGGTCAATGAGAGAGGTGGGGGGTCAGGACAACCAGTTGTGTTCACTCCCCACTCTCCTTTCCTAGGGTTCTTGTGCCCACCTAGCGACAGACCTGAAGTCCGCACATATGCCAAGAAAACATCAATGCAACACAAAGATCAGAGCCCTAGACCAAAGTCTCACCTCATCAACATCTCATCAACACACACACACACACACACACACACACACACACACACACTGTGCCCAGACAACTGGTCAAGCCAGCGCATAGGGGAAGAAAATATTTTCATGCACACCCAACTGAAAAACTTATTAAGAAAAGGATGCAGACCATTGGTCAGTCAGAGCCCTTCAGGGATAGAGACAAAGTCTCACTTGCAAAGGACGTCTGCCCGATGATGTGGCAGGGTGTATACACGAACAGGACATATCCAGATAGTCTTGATAGCCCGACAAGGACAGGAAAAGCACTTCTGTGACTGTTTGAATTGTGAACTGGACTAGAAATTCTCATGGAACATCATTTTTACGTGAATAGATTGCTGTCAGGCTGTGGTCAGAGTTAGGTATTCGACACACATTTACTTGAAAATTAACAGTCTGTCAACTCAAGCAAACTATTGACAGCATTGAATTTTTTTTAATTGAAATATTGATATACAATATAATGTTGGTTTCAGGCATACAACATAGTGATTCAATAGTTGTATACATTATTAAATGATCACCATGATAAATGTATTTATATCTGTCAACATACAAAGATATTACAATATTATTGACTATATTCCCTATGCTGAACTTTCACCCTATGACTAATTTATTTTATAATTGGATGTTTGCACCTCTTTATCACCTTCACCTATTTCACCCACCCCTGCTTCCACTATGGCAACCATCAGTCTGTTCTCTGTTTATAAATCTATTTCTGTTTTGTTTTTTCAATTCCACATAAAGTAAAATCATATGGTATTTGTCTTTGGCTTATTTCACTTAGCCTGATACCCTCTGTGTCCATCTATATTGTTGCAAATGGCAAGGTTTCATTATTTTTTACAGCTGGGTAATATTCCATTGCATATATGAACTACATCCTCTTTATCCATTCATCTATTGATGGATATTTTGGTTGCTTCCATATCTTGGTTATTGTAAATAATGCTGCTATAACCATAGGAGTACATACGTACTTTCCAATTAGGGGTTTTGTTTTCTTTGGGCAAATTCCCAGCAGTGGAATTACTGGGTCATATGGTAGTTCTATTTTTAGCTTTTTGAGGAACTTCCATAATGTTTTCCGTAGTGGCTACACCGATTTGTGTTCCCACCAACAATGCACAAGGGTTCCCTCTTCTCCACATCCTCTCCAAAACTTGCTATTTCTTATCTCAGAAGTAGCCCGTCTGACCGGTATGAGGCGATACCTCTTTGTGGTTTTGATTGGTATTTCCCTCATGATTAGTTGTTGAGTATCTTTTC